TAAACTTTCTATCATCAATTAGAATTTTTGCAAGGTCTTGAGTAAAAAGAAACTCCAGAGAAGAAGGAAGAAAGAGCCCATGAGTTGTTTCAATTTCTTGCACCAGGTCTTCAGCTTCACTATTTTTGAGTACAATTCTCTTCAAATAATTTAATAGCTTTGACCTTTAATTTATTTAATTTGTTGTAACTAGTATCACAAACTGTATTTTATAATATTTCATTGTTGTTTTTAACTATTTGCAAAATGTCCCAAACATGTCAATAGGGAACTGTTTTGTAAAGTGAGTTTTTACTCATTATTAATATTTAAAAAAATATTAATGGTTTCTATTTTAGGCATGTGCAATTAACAGCCAAATACGCTTTTATAATAACACTGTTTTCATTTATAAAGACCACACAGGAATATCACAACATATCTCAACTATCATCTATTGATTTGGGTATCTTCATGAGATATTTTTCAAACAAACTTGATGTTGCAGAACGCTTCATAGATGAGGGATTACTAGCTTTCTGTTGTTGTTCCTGGACACATATGTTCCGAATATAATTTTCTTACCAAAAATCTTTTAATTACAAATTGTTAAAAATTCAAATATAATTATATCATCCTCCCCTTTCCTTTCTCAAATTCCTTTCACTCTCCATTTCTTCTTCTCAAATTCATGGCTTTCTTTTCTTTGTTATTATCATACACAGTCACACACATATTCATAAATATCTAAATGCAACCTCCTCCATTTGTACAGTGTTAATTGTGTACGTGTATGATCCCAGGGCTTACCACTTATATTACCAAACTTCTTACATAAAGTGCATGAGAAGACATACTTAGAATATTTGAACATTTTATTCAATAAAAACTTAACTCTTGTGTTATGGGAACTTGGGGTGAGAAAAATGTAGTAAATTATGGTTCTTTCTGATGCCAGTTGTGTGGGGGTGTTCATCAATCATTTTGGACCAAAGTATTTAACTTTGTTTCTCCTTCAGATTGTTAACAGTTTTCCCATCAAATTCACTATCTTAGTCACATTGCGCAAATGCATGACAAGTTACATGAAAGTTTCAGTAGTAGTAGATTTCTAAAGACATATTCAGAGCTCTTGGGAAATTTAGAAGAATGCCAAACATTAGGACTCCAGAGCAGCAGTGTGTGCGTGTGTACACATGTGTGTGAATGTGTGTGTGTGTGTGTGTGTGTGTGTGTGCAGATGTGCACATGTCATGGTTTGCAGTTAGACATCCTTAAGTGTTGATTCTTACCTTGTATCTTGTTTGAGATATTTTCTCTAGTGTCTTTTCACTGTGTTCTCTAGGACAGCAAGCTTGAGAACATCTCTGGGATTCTACTGTCTTCTTATTGGAGGCTTGAATTTACAAACGCTTGCCCTACATGTTCAGATTTTATGTGATTTGGGCACAGCCCTAAGAGGGACTTAACTCTGGTCTTTCCATTTGCTCATCAGGAGCTTTACTTGCAGACCCATTTCCACAGCAGTCACAGTCTTCTGTGGAGTAGTAATGTGTGTTTCGCCATGTATACAGTCAATGGAAGACATAAGGACAAATTCAAAAGTTAGTATTGGTCCTGGTGTGGATTACAAGGTATCTGGTTACTTCTGGCTTTGTTAAAGCTCTATACTTCATATTTCTTTTGAAGGAGAATCAGGTGATGATACATAAATTTGTCTGTGATGACAAGAGCTTATTTTCAGATTTTTATGTGTCACTTTGAAAAAGGGATACATTTTAATGGATAAATGAGATATTGGAAAATACATACTACTCCCAAAAGTAAAGCTTAATGAATAATAAATATTTTCAATGGAACAATCTGTAAACCACCATGCCAGAAATGTCAGAAATTAGTAGAGCATGGACCCTGTTGTATGACCTCACCTGAGACCTGACACCTCCCTTCAGAGGTTGCAATGCTTGGTTTTGAACTTCATAGCAACTAAAGCATAAATTGTATCCTTTTTATGTTGACTTACTATTTTCAGGATTATATGTGAGAACCAATTGTCTTTGTGTATAGTAGTCTGAGGTCATCGCTTCAAAGTTTTCCACTGTGTATATAATACACAGATTATTTATTCTTGTGTTGGAGGACATTTGAGTTGTTTCTATTACTTTGATTTTATGTAGTGCTACTATGATTTTTCTTACATGTATCTTTTGGTGAATGGTATGAGCCATTCGTTAGGGAGAGACCGAAGGGCTTCTGAAGCTCTTGAAGCTTTTTTCAATTAGTTTAGCAAAGATAATTAGCTCTCCAATGGGTAGTGAGTGAATGATTGAGATGTTCTGTCTCTGTCAACATTTGGTTAAAGAGTCATTTATTTGGGTATGTGGTTGTGACTTTTAACCTTCTTTTTGCTAATAACAAATGGATTTTGAGTGTCATTTCACCTACCTATTTTCCATTTGGAAATCTTCCTTGTAAATTTGTTTTCTTTTATTTATTTATTTTTTAAAAGAAAACAACAACTTTTTTTTTCATTTTACATGCCAATCCCAGTTCCCATTCCCTCCCCTCCTCCCCTCCCCTCCACCTAGTCTCCACCCCACCCCCATCCACTCCTCAGAGATGAGAGAAAGGAAAGAGATAGCTTTATAGAGGGAACCATTATGGGGCTAGCAAGAAACCTGACACTAGAGAAATTCCCAGGAATCCATAAGGATGACCACAACTAAGACCCTAAGCGATAGAGGAGAGGGGGCCCGAACTGGCCTTGCACTGTAGTCAGACTGTTGAATATCTTAAATATCACCTTAGAACCTTCATCCAGAAACAGATGGAAACAGAAAGTCCAGTTAAAGAGTGGGAGGAGTGAGAGTATGAGCAAAGAGGTCAATTCCTTGCATTTTTCCAGTATTTTCTCTTATATAATTCCTTGCTCAACCTGGATACAAGGGGGAGGGTCTTGTCCTCCTCAAGGTATATAACAGACATTTTTGACTCACCATGGGAGGCCTCACCCTCCCTTAGGAGTGGATGGGTGGTGTGGGGAGAATACAGGAGGGGGAGAGTGGAAGGATGGAAAAGAGATGGAAACGGGATTGATAGATTGATAAGTAAAATAAGATTGCTTTAAAAATAAAAACATATTTTTATTTATTTGTAAAGTATTTTAGATGTTTGTGTTTTTAATTTTGGATTATGTAAAGACTAAAATTAAATGTGAGTAGTTGATCCTTTTACTCAGGTATGACTCCATCTGATAGTGATTACACCTTTTATTCTCTACAAGTCTTTCTACTTAGCCATGACAGTGGAGTGACACTCAGATCACACCAGCCCAAGTGAAATCTACTTGTCTATGACAGTGGAGTGTCAGTCTGTTCCCACCAGCCCAGTTGTAATCTGCCACTGGTGGATGATGTTTGTTTATCATGGAGATTCAGCTGGAATAACAGGATAAATGGGGAGAAAGATTATAGGAGAAGGATCTTCATGAAAGGCTTGAAATGGGTTCAGAGAGGAGGGGGAGGCCTAGTCAGGTGATTTGCTCCAGTTTTGGTGGTGGATTTTGAGGAGAGGAATCTACCTGACCTGCCTCTCTGACTGCAGCAGCCTGTGTGTTCCCGGCAAATGCCTGGTGGAGTTGAGGGCTGGGATAATGGAATGAGTGGGGGGTTGGAGGTTTGGGGGGGAAGATCCCTGTGATCCACTGGAGCTGGGGTAGGGGCAGAGAGGAGACTGAAGCAGGTGTTCGGCTACAGAACTGGGGATGAGAATGGGAGGTTGAGTTTGGAGGAGGAGAGGGAGTGGTGAAGACCTGCAGTTGGTCTACCTGCTTCCCTGGCTGCAATCCAGTTTCCTTTGAACCATTATAATAAGGAAAGGGCTCAAAAAAGGTTACAACTTAACCAAGTAGAACACCAAAAATAATTATAAAGTATAATGTGAGGGGTTTAAAAGTTATCAGTTTAACATCTCCTTTTTAAAACTTAAATAAAACAAAAAAATAATCAATAATAAATCACTTTCTTTTGTACCTTAAATATTTAAATATTTTAGATGAGAATGGAAATAGTAGAAACATTTTAACATGTTATTGCTTGACCATTACTGAACTAACTACAACAACCATCTTATGAAAGAGTTAAGTTGAACTTCTCTGGGCCTGGAGCTTCTTAGCCTTTGGCTAAGGAGAGATGAGAGGAGGTGCATGCTGGCAGACTCTGAGGCCCCCTCACATCAGAAGAACCAGGCGACCATCTGTTGTCTTCATTGCCTTCTGAGAATTAATTTAAATATAGATGAAATTTCTGTTTGTAAAACTTCAGGTTTTTGTATGAGGCAGTAGGGCTCGGGTAGGTTAGGAGTTGACAAAGATCACATGCTTTGGCACTGGAAGGTTCGAGACTGAGTTTTCAGGGATCGCAGAACTCCTGGATTCTGATGATTTGTGTTGAGGGATGCGTAGCCTAATGACTCAAATATTGCTTTCTTCCTACCTCCTGGTTCTGTGTTAGCAAACTCAATTTATAAAGAAAAGTAGTTCATTTAGCTCACAGTTTCAGAGGTGCTAACTTTGTTCCAGCCCCAGTGGGGATGCTCTTGGCTGAACTCCTCACAGTTGGGAGTGCATGAGAAAGTGGGAGATCCCGCATGTCTTAGAAACAGGAAACCAAGGGGATCAGAGTAGCTCTGCTGCCTCTTCTGATTGCATGCTCCTGTTGACTTAAAGACGTCTCACTCCATCCACTCAATCTTTCACATGCCCATTGTGACACTGTGGGCCATGCTTCCAGCACGTGAACCTTTGGGAATAAATTTTAAAATGTTCAAACCCTCACACAGGTGGTTTGGAACCAGTAAGGTAGAATGTATACAGACACTCCATAAACTAGAGGGGACGCTGAAAGTTCTAGATCAGATTAACAAAATATCAGAGTGTTGGGCATTCATTTTATTTATTTATGGATAAAAGAAATAGCTAAAAACAAATGTTCATCATGTCTTTATCACTCATGTAACCACAGAGTTCACCATTCATAGAGGATCAGCCCACCTGTCCATCATGGCAACTGCAGAGGCCATATGTGAAGGAGCAGACGGTGAGTACCCATGTGTACATAACTCATGTGAAGAGCAAGACACTCTCAACGTTTTGAAGAGCCATTACCTCTGATTTAATTACTCCAAGAACAAGCCATGAGTTAGCATGACTCACGACAACGTGCTCACCCTCTGTCCACCGGAAAAGGCTCAACATGTTGTCCACTCATGCTGTGAGGCCACCCCTGCTAAACAAGTCTGTTGTCCACTCATGCTGTGAGGC